TATATAATACTTATATTATTTAAATTTGTATAAATATAATTCGATTATATATATATAAAATAGAATCATTTAATATTATTAAAAAAATAAGTTGAAGATTATTATAATAATATAATATAAAAACTTATTTGTTAATAAAAAGAATAGGATTTTGATTTAGATTTATTATTATATTTACTACATTATATAATTAAAGAGTTCTATTCGTATAAATATATTAATATATTATATATAATATAAAACTAGTAGTAAATGTAAAATAATTAATAATATAAATTGCTTATATCTTGATAAAAACTAATATATATTTTAGACGATTAATTAAATTTGAATTTTCTATAATTTCAAAAGGATTAATATAGTATTGAATCTAGATATATTGTTCGATATGGTTGGAGAATATATATATAATAGAATGATTTAGATTTTAATAATTTTGATGGTTTTTTAATATAATATTTAATTGATTTAAAATGAAGTTTATTATACTTATTGGATTTATTATGAGAAATAGAAATTGAATTAAATAATAAGGTGGTTGTCTATTATAAATTCTAAATAACAATCTGATTTATATAAATAAAATTTATATAAAAAAGAAAGTTAAGTTTGTATTAAAATATGTAATCAATAATATAATATTATATATCATACTTTATTTCATATATATATGAAGTATATAAATATAGTAATTCCTTTTTTATAAAAAGAGGGTAGATAGAAATAAACAATCCTTTTACTTATACATATTATATATATACATCTTATCAAGTCTGCCCAACATATATAAAGTGTATAAGTAAGGATAGTATATATATATAAATATAACAATTCTCTTTTTATATAAAAAGAATAGATAGAAATAAAACAATCCTTTTACTCATACATATTATATATATATACCTTATCAAGTCTACCCAACAATATTATTATATTAAAGAATTAGAATAAAAGATTAGTTTTTAATAGGCTTTTTTATTTAGAGTATTTTTTTCGCTTTCTTATTAATTATTATGATTTTAGTAGTTTTTATTATATATAAAAACATTATTTTCTATTTAATTAATAATTATATAATAGTAATATTATATCTAATGATTATTATACTCTAAATAAATTTTCTATTAATAAATAATTCTCAAATTGAATTTATATATGTATGTAATATCTATACAAAAGTAAATTTAATTTATTTAAATAAACTATATCGATTAAATATATATTAGTAAGATATTAAAATAAATATTTTATAAGTAATATATAAGTTTTCCTTAATATATATATAATATAGACAAGTTAATCTATATATATATATATTATACTACATTTAATTTTATATAGTTAGAAATATATATAGTATTATTAACTATTTGAAGATAGAGAATTATCTTTATTAAGAAGTTTGTTTTTAGATATATTTTATATAATTATATCTAATATTAAAAATAAATCTTTTATATTAATAAATTCGATCTCAAATCTCTATAGAATTTTCTTAATATAATTAGATTAATACATTTGAAATGATTGATTTTATCGATTTCATTTAATTTAAATACCTAGAAATATACTAGTTATATTTAGATCTTTACATTTCTATTGATTTCTAATAATCATTTTTATCGAATCGATATTCATATAATTTCTTAGAATTAAGAGATCATTCATATAAAGAAGAATATATACTCCTTTTTCATATGAATAAATCTAAATCTATTAAAGATTCTTATATTAGGAGTGATCTACTTTACTACTACGTCATATAAAAGTATGAATGTTCTAGATGAAATCTAGAATAGTAAATCTATTATATAAAGCTTATTAGACCAGATTCTAGATTTATATTCTAATACTTATTTTATTTTATTATAAACTCTTGAGTTAATCAAAATAAAAGAAGCTTTATATCTATATGATTATTTTAGCTAAATAAATCTATTAATTTATTCTATAAATAGATTTATTATTATTAGATTTATAGTAGAAAGTTTTATATAATGTAATCAAATTAATTATTAAGATTAAATTCAAAGTAGTATTATTTTTATTAAAAATTATTCTCAAAATACTATATCTTATAATTTAAAATATAATGTTAAGAGTGATTCATGTTATCATTATATTGTATAAAAACATAACTATTCTAGATTGAATTTAAAATAATAGATCTACTATATAAACCTTATCAAAGTGAATTTCGAATTCACGTCTAACATTTTAAAATCTAAGCTCTTTAAAAAGTCTTTTAATAATTATCTATTAAACTTTTAATATTTATTCAAATCTATAAAACGACATTTTAAGTTTAAAATATAATTTATTTGTAAATTTCATTTTGAGAAAAACTTTTTCGAAGAATTTGAGAATTTCTATAAGAATTTCTATATCTATTAATTTATTATTTAAAAAAACTATATCGATATTTATATTATTAATTTCTAAATCTTTTATTATATTTTTTTTTGTGAATTTTTAATAAAAGATTGTTAAAGGTTTATTAGAGAGTAAAATTTATATATAATTCTTATATAAATTTAAAAATCGATATTTTAAAGCTTCAAATTTTTATTTTGAAATTTTTTAAAAATCTGAAATTTTCAGAATAAGCTTAAAATGATTTGAATTATACAAATGTAAATTTCCAGTGAATTCTGTTTATAAATAAGAAAGTTTTTTTTGGTCAATCTTAACGATAATGACTCAAAACAGCGGTGGCTAGAAAATAGGGTACCCGACTTATTGCTTTTCGCATGGAGGCGGCAGTTGACGAATACATCGTGATGTACGATTTGAGATGTACTGGATAGTGATCAGAGAATCGATTCTTTTTGGACCCCATCTTGAGCATAGTTTCTGAAAACTGACAATCATGTGCCGTTCTTTCAGTGTGTATGCGGTTCTCCAATTCCACACATCGCCTGGAAAGACAAATAAACAGTAAAATTCTGGAAGTATCGGCTCGTTTAATAGGATCAAGTTTCTTGAAATAAGTTTATATTGCCTGTAATTTGCATCATTTGTCTATATGGATGGAATGACCTGGATGGTACCTATGCAAAGATTCTCATGAGGTAATGAGACGAAGAAATAATTAGTTGGCTAATATGTAGGGGTATAAAGTAAATCATCATCTCCTCTCTCCACCCAATATCATCAAGACGCTTTGGAAACAAGCTGCACAAGTTGATCTGCCAAAAACTTTGCAAACTCCTGATCATTAATAGCATAATCTTTCTCCAGCACCTCGATCCCCGTCTCATCTAACCCATTCTTAATAGTTTCAAATAGTACCTTATCGGCTTCAACATCATAAAACTTGCCTCCCTCCACAGCCAACATACTTGTTCCCTTCTTCGGTAAACATATCTTGACCAACTCCTTCCTCTTAACCTTTTCCTTTAATCTCCCAGCAATAAACTTGCCAATCTCGACACACTCATCCTTATTCGTCCGCATCAACGTAACTTCTGGATTATGCTGCACCAACAACCTCTCGCTAAATTTCTCCGGTACCGAATCCCGTGGTCCAAAATTCACACAATCACACGCACCCACACTTACCACTTGCGGAATTCCCATTTCCGCCGCGGCGGAGAGTCGTTCTGGACCCGCTGTTAATACACCTCCACAAACATGGTCTGTGATTTCCGTCGTCGTAATATCGAGAACTGCATCGATGCGTTTTTCGCGTATCAATCTCTCCATTGCTTTTCCCCCCGCGCCGGTGGCGTGGAATATGTATATCTCATATTCGTTTCTTAATTTGTCTTCATTTTGGAGGATTTCTTGTACTTTTTCTACACAGGGTGTGGTGATCCCAAACATGGTTAATCCTATTCCTTTTTTCCTGGGCTCATTTTTTTCTTCCGCTTGTCTTCGAAGCTGATATGCTTTCGCGAGTCCGGAAACCGCTCCAGCTGTATTGTCTAGAATTCCTTTGAGTATAGAATTGGTGCCTGCAATGTCCACGACGCTGTACATCATGGTAATGTCTGTTTCGCCGACATATGGTCCTGTATTTCCACTGGCCATGGTGGATACGAGAAGTTTGGGGAATCCGATGGGCAGAGCGTTGCGCATGATGGATGCACAGAGGGATGTTCCTCCGGATCCACCGAGTCCGATGATAGCATGGATGGAGTTTTTCTCGAAGAGAGAACGTGTGAGAGTTGTGGCGCAAGTGGATATGTGCTCGATGTATTCACCACGGGAAAGGTTTGAGTAATCGAGGGGGGATGAGGCATACGAGAGGACTTCGGATTGGGGGATGCTTATTTCGGGATCAGAAGCGGGCTCGCGTCCTACGTCTGCGAGGAGAACTTTGGTATTGGGTTGGGAGTGCGTGAGGATTTGGGTGCGGAGATAGAGGATTTCTTCGCGTTTGGAATCGAAGGTTCCGAGGAGAAGGATGGTAGGATGTGACATTTTTGCTTCTGGCTTGTGGAGATGACTAGAGTGAAGAATGTGGAATTTGTATACTTATCTGAAGTCATGAGTGTGGTGTAATATTGATGCATATGCTGTCCTACCTATTTTAGTAGGTGCTGCAGAGTGACGTTGATGTTGCTCTGTTGATTTTATTGAATGGAGAATTGACACAACTCAACTCATGAGAGGAATGAACTAATACCAACTTCCCAGCAACAACGCTGACAGCCTAACGTTCGATTCGACATTTCCATTCGTAAACGTATCAATTCCCACGAGTTGATCAATCCGATTCATCTGTCAATAATGACAATGCATATATATCATTATCTCGATGAAATCAATTCCCCACCATATCTACACACAAGCTCCAAGGTAATTTCGGGCCGGTGAGATTCTAGTGTCGGAATCGACAAGATGTGAGGGGCCTCAGAGGGGTTATAGAGGGGTATATTGGCCATGGCTGGAGTCGCTATGGTTACGTCAACACTGCACAGGCATGTTTACGAGTCAAGCTGTCAACCCCCACTATGCAGAGAGCTACTTTAATTTGGTGACAATTGGATGACTGAGACTTTTATATCGGATTTCTGAGGCAATGGAATGATATATATTGTACCTTTTCATACTATCAATATTTTGATATTGTGATATTGTGATATCTCCATTTGTCAACTCGATCTTGCACAATGACGAAAGTTACAACCCGTGATGTTGTTCTCGGAAGACTGAAAAATGCAGTCAAGAATAAAGAGATTATTGTTGGAGCTGGAGCAGGTAGATTATTCATCTCCTCATATATATACACCATTGGACTAATGAATAAAAACTAACCGACGTATAGGAATCGGTCTATCAGCCAAGTCTGTGGAAGCAGGCGGAGCAGACCTCATCATCATATATAATTCCGGTCGTTTTCGTATGGCAGGACGTGGATCATTAGCTGGTCTCATGCCATATGGAGATGCTAATCAAGTAGTCGTTGAGATGGTTCGTTTACAACTCCCATCTTCACCGTGTCATACAATATCAAAACCCAAATCTCACATCATGACAGGCCTCCGAAATCCTCCCCATAGTAAACGATACCGGTGTTCTCGCCGGCGTCTGCGCTACCGATCCGTTCCGTCACATCCCCACCTTCCTTAAACAGCTGAAAGAACTCGGTTTCTGCGGGGTGCAAAATTTCCCCACCGTTGGACTTATCGATGGACGATTCCGGGAAAATCTAGAGGAGACGGGTATGGGATATGATAAAGAAGTCGAGATGATCCGTGTCGCCCACGAAGAGGGTTTACTTACCACACCCTATGTGTTCAACGCCGACGATGCGGTGAAAATGACCAAAGCAGGTGCGGATGTATTGGTAGCGCATATGGGATTAACGACTAGCGGGACGATTGGTGCCAAGACGGGAAGTAGTTTGGACGGATGTGTGAAGGCAATTCAGGAGATTAGAGATGCGGCTGTGAAGGTGAGAGAGGATATTATTGTTCTTTGTCATGGGGGACCTATCGCGGAGGAAAAGGATGTGGAATATGTCTTGGCGAGGACGAAGGGGATTCAAGGGTTTTTTGGAGCGAGTAGTATGGAGAGGTTGCCGGTGGAAATTGCGATTAAGGATAATATGAAACGGTTTAAGGAGTTGAAGGTTGGGAATTAGGGGGAAATAGGTAGAGTGTATTATTAGACGAATAGAATCAATTTAGCATTTGAAGCGTAAACATGAGGAGGGGCTTGGAAAATGAAACCATAATACAATTCTAAGATAGATTTTAACATCTAAACAAAAACTATTGCTCCAGGAGACAGCGCAAAGTATCAACCGACATAGGCCATCTACTGAAATCCACTATTAAATACAAATCGAATCTAAATTTGAGCTTAAAATCTATGTGAGCTGATTCATCACATTATATGTCATGGGTATATATCAGTTGTTCGCTTATTTTAATATCTACATCTACTAGGTACTTCTAGTAATCTGATGATAGGTATTTATTCAACTACCCAGGTAGCTAAAGTATCTATCTCGGTAAAAACAAATCTACTACTACACACCTAGGTATGAAAAGAGCCTTTCGCTTCTAAGTCCTCTAGCTACCAGTAAATCTGCCTACCTAGCGAACAGACTTATAGAAATTTAGCACTTGAACCTACATATCTACTCTCAACTCTAGACTTTGAGCTGATTATATTCCCTTCGTTCATCAATCGTAACCCTTATTAATTCATACAGTCAGATATCTTACCCACAAACTATTGACCATTACAATCTCGTAGTGATCTTGTCTCGTCTATTCTCTTTTTCATCGAACACCTAGGCAACATGATATTGACTATACTAGATTCTCTATCACGTCATAATATGTTATCCACAGATCCCTTGACAAACGTATCATCACCTATCATCTCAGACGTCGTCTCTGAGTGTAGAAGCATTTATTCTGATTTTGATGTTAAATTTATAGGTAGCTAATTAGCAGTAATACATGGAAAGAATATACTCGAATCACAAGATTACTCTTTAGCTTCGAATAAGATGAATCAAATGCAGGTAAAATGCGTCAAGGAGCTCAAATAGCGAAATGCTACTAGAAGAGAGCGTGAATATCTGACGATCAAGTTACAAATTCCCACGATTTGATTGCAATCAAACCTAATCAAACCCTTTTCAATGCCAATATTGACAGAAAATCGTCCCGGTGTGTTTAGTACCTCGTCGTTGCTTTTGCTTAGGCAGCCGAATTGGCTTCTGAAGGACTCCAGTCCATTCTCCTAAATTTTAGGTACAGCTCGTGTACAGTTATGATACATATACCTACATAACGTAAGCTCCTACATCCTCGGGCCACCATGCAGCCGGTCAGGCCAACAAGGTACCTCAACATCGACAATCTAATCTATCACTCCACCTCCAAATCCTACAGGCCTCCTCCTCCCTCCATTCTCTGGAACCACAGCCATAACCTTATAAACCTTCCCCATACCACTTCCTCCTCTATCAACCAACCGCTTCCAAGCACCCTCAACCCTCTTCTTAACCTCATCATCTTTCTGTCCCAAACTCTTAACCAACATCTCTGCTCGTTCCTTAATCCCCATACTCTCCAACCACCCTCCTTGTTCCATAGGTCCATGAACTTCTACTCCCTCACTCGCATTCATAGCTGCCTCGGCTAAAGCTATAAAATCTACATCCGCGCTTAAATCAACGATTCCCGGTTCGCTAAGAGGAGAAACTCGTTGATGTGCTTTTATTCCTCGGAGAGAATTGGATGGAATGGTATCACTGGGTCCATAGTCCAAAATTAGAGCAGCACCTGAAGGATTAGGTTTAGGGTTTGTTTTTGAACCACCAATGCGACTTGCGAAATCAGCGACGATAGCGTGACTTTCAGGAGATATCTCGATTAGCGAATCGGGTATGGATTTCAGAGCTCGATAGCGAGTGGAAGTTTCGGGAAGATAAAGGGAATGCGGGGTCGACGCTTTGGAAAGTGTGAGTTGAAATTCGGGAGGGGAGGATTGGGATTGGAGGGATTTTGGCGTGTGAACATCGTTGTGAGTGCTATTTGGCGGGGTGGGCGAGACTACCATTTCGCGCCACTGAGGTGTTTTAGCTGTAGATGATTTGGAGGTGGAGGGGGCAAGTGGATGAGTACCAGTGGGTGTTTGAATTGTGGTAGGCTCCGGAGCATTGGGGTTTGGAGGTACGGACTGGAAAGCGTGGATTGGGAGAGCATCGAAGAATTCGTGGGCAACGATGAACGGAGTTTTGTCCGCGCCTACCAAAGTTCAATGGAAGATCTTGGATTTTGTAGTTTCCCGCATAAACTTACCAGAAGGTACAAATCTCATATTCTCTGTCCACATGATAGGAATGCCAGCATACTTGCTAGTACTCTTAAACCCTGTTTCGGTCTCTATCATAGGGGCGTCCCCACACAGAAGCTGTTTCTGAGTGTCTCTCAAAGCAGGACTTGCTTCTACCATATAGACAGCTTCTATACTCTCAGCCATTGGTTTGAAGTTTTTAATTGTCTATACAACTTATTAGCCCACATTCAAAACTAGAACAAGAATTTTCTAAACCAGACCCTCAGCATATCATCCATTAAAGTGCCCCTCCCCGGACCTATCTCCACCAATTCAACACCCTTTTTCTTTTTCCCTTGAGCCATCCATTCTGCCACAAACCAAATCCCAACCAGTTCCCCAAAGATCTGCGAAATTTCCGGCGAGGTAATAAAATCGCCCTTTTGTCCGAACTGATCTCTCCCTTCTTGTTTCGAGGTATAATATCCACCTACATCGGACGTTAAGCACATCCGCATAAACGAAGCCAAAGGAATTGGCCCTGTAGCCTAGACCATGTCAGCAAAGTACCCGAGTATCTAAAACGATACGAAAATCATACTGTGATAGCTTCAGAAAGCTGTTTTGCAAGGGGTGTAGACCGTTGTCTCGTCTCCGTTGAAGACCATCTCAAAGTCGAATACGAAGCCCCATATCTGTATTTCACAGCACAACGCAAAGAATTACGCGTTTGCAGTAATAATCTAGACCTCATTTTTGGTCTTCTCTAGTGTTCTCAGTACATCTCACTTCTTTTTAAAGCTCATTGCAAGGGTAGAAAGAGAGGGTGTGAAAATTGAAAGCCTTGCAACCTCGCCTTGCCTCGTCTCATGGCCTTGTCGTCATTGGTGATCTAAAATCCTCAGCCTCGACTTCACAATTCACTGCAACCTAGAACCTTATCTACCACTATCGAAAATATCGTTGTGCTTTAGAGGTCAGAATGAATTCTTGTAATTTCAAAGAAGTACATATTTTATTGCATATTTAGAAAGGTCAGTATTGCGCGACCTCAAAAAGAATTGACTCTTCGTGTTTGAGAGAACGGCTGTTGAATCCGGGCGAGGGGCGTATTGAGCTTCAATCGTTTGCTTCACAGAAGGCTGGAGTTTATAACCAGCAAGGTACAAATATGTCGACTCAAGCCAAGTCGCGCTGGGCAGATGACGAAGAAGATGCTGCGTTAGATCTACAGCGCAAACGCGAAAAGGAAGAGAAGAAACGATTGAAGGCAGAAAAACAGAAGAAGCTCGATGAACAAGCTGCCGCTACTGCTGCCGCGAAATCCAAAGCTCAAGCTCCTTCTGAACCAGAAGCCTCCACTGAAAGACCCTCGAAGCGTCGCCGTTTATCACACTCTCCAACGCCCGCTCAAAAACTCGATTTACCGCCTGCCAAACTACTGCGATTTCCAGCACCCAATTGGGGAAAATGTCGCAGTGTGGAAGATTATGAGAAATTGAATGATATAGAAGAGGGGGCTTATGGATGGGTATCACGCGCGAAAGATAGTCGGACGGGGAAGGTCGTCGCGCTGAAACGATTAAAGATGGAAAATGCCAATGACGGGGTGCCAGTAACAGGTCTAAGGGAAATACAAACGTTGATGGATTGTGAGCATGAGAACATCGTGAGGCTAAGGGAAGTGGTTGTTGGAGAGGATATAAGTAAGATTGAGAAGTACGTTTCTCCATTTCAGTTTTGTTATTTCTTTTTTTACTTTCCCGTTTTCCCGTTTGCACCACAGTATAGAGAAAATTACAGCTAACATGCACCCCTCAGTATATTCCTCGTTCTTGACTTCCTTGAACACGACCTCAAAACTCTCCTGACATCCCTCTCGGAACCCTTTCTTCCATCCGAACTCAAACTACTTCTCCATCAACTCACAACAGGCGTTGCCTACCTCCATAACAATTACATCCTCCACCGCGACTTAAAAACCTCCAATCTCCTCCTCTCCAATCGCGGCGTCCTTAAAATCGCCGATTTTGGCATGGCCCGCTACTGCGGCGATCCAGCTCCAAAAATGACCCAATTAGTCGTGACCCTCTGGTACCGCAGTCCCGAGCTGTTACTCGGCGAGGAACGATACGGTAAAAGTGTAGATATGTGGAGCGTGGGTTGTATATTTGGCGAACTACTCAGCAACGACGCCCTACTCCCCGGAAAAAACGAAGTCGATCAACTCTCCAAGATTTTCGAACTCCTCGGCCTTCCAAGCGAATCTAACTGGCCCACCTTCAAACGTCTCCCCAACGCACGCTCGCTCCGACTTCCCAAGAACCCCAATCCTGCCACTCAAGGCTCAGTCCTGCGCTCCAAATTCCCCTTTCTGACTTCAGCTGGATCATCTCTACTCTCTTCTCTCCTTAGCTTAAATCCTGCGGAAAGACCTTCTGCACAAGAAGTTCTGGAACATGAATACTTCAAAGAAGATCCGAAGATGAAGAGTAAAGATATGTTTCCTACATTTCCAAGTAAAGCGGGATTGGAGAAGAAGAGACGGAGAGGGACTCCGGATGCTCCTCAGAGAGGAGAGGCTCCTAAGGGCTTTGGGGGTGTATTGGATTTTAGTGGAGTGTTTGGGAGTGGAGGGGAAGAGGAAGTTGAGAAAGGGGCTGGATTTAGTTTGAAGCTTATTTGAGAAGATTCAGATATCGAGCAACTTTGGGTGTGCAGGCCAGAACACAGGCCGATGTGTAATATGGATATAACATGTACTGAGGGGTATGCGTGGATATACCAATTTGTGCTCTGTATGTTCTAACAAGGCAGGTTCTTGTGATTTTATAGATATCAATCTACAGTGTACAAATTCACAAATGTAGAATCAGAGAAAATAATTGTTATTGACTATCATATACCAATTTACTCTCAATCGTTCATTAAGTAATTGTAACTTTCTCCCTGCTATCTATGCATGCATGCAATATGCAAAATCCAGAAAATGCACATATGTCCAAACCCCAAAACACCATTACCCCAACCCTGATTTTTCATTTTCAAATCTTGCCCAAAGGAATGTTCCCCATATGCAACCCAATATCTTAACGTTCTTCTCCTCCGTGTCCTTCAATCCAGCACGCCCAAAATTATAAGAAAAAATTTGTAATCTTCATGACAATTTTTTACCAGATAACACCCAATCCAGTGACAAACCAGGTAAAGCTGAGTACAGTAATAACTCCCATACCAAACATCAATTTCAACGCCCTTCTCTCCATATCAGATAATGCCCCACTGCATGTAGCACATACCCAATCGCTGAGAGGAGTATATGGCTGTGGCGTGTACATTCCAAAAGCATATGTATCATATACTGACAAGTATCCGGGTTGAGCGGTGGCACTAATACTACTCGCTGCATCGTAGATAATCAAAGTGTACGTTTCAGTAAGGAGAGGGTTTCCAACAGCAGTTGATTGATAGGCACCAGTATCCCAGGTTACTGCCTGTCTGGAATTCGAGACGGTTTGGTTCGTGGCAATAGTATACAATTGAGCATTGGCTTTGCATGTGGCCATAATGTTAACGGCAGTGGGGGTAGCTTCGAGAGATGTATAATTCCAGGCAAAAGTAATATAGTCACCAATTTTGAAGTATGCAGTGGAAGTGGCGGCAGGTGTTAAGAGAGAAATTCCACCTGCTGGGTAAGTTGCATTGTAGGAAGTCGAGTTGCCACCAGAGCTGGCTAAAGATTTGGATGACCCAGATTTGGCAGTACCTGATGTTGTTTTCGGTCCAGAAGTGGTAGCTTTGTTTGTACCTGAGCCTGAGCTTGTTTTCGATGCTGATTGGGAATCGGTTGCAGATTCGGAACCTGTTTCTGATGCTGTGTTTGTAGATTTTGGGGCCGTAGTCGCCGAAGCAGTGACAGAAGCAGTTTCTGATGCAGTGTTGTCTTTAGGATGTCAGCACGTAAACACGGGGAAGATTGATTCTGAGTTTCTTACCAGCAGCAGAGCTTGAACTGTCTGCTCGAGCTACAATTAAAGAGTTCATTTCTGGAAGCCATCTTGGCCATGGCCATGCAGCTACGAATGTGGAAAAGCAGAGAAGGACGATGGAATATAGTTGGATTGATCGTTGAGCCCGCATCGTGTTTGTTGTTGATATTTTCGTACGCCCTTAAATAGCCGCAAATCTCCTTTTGATTTCCTAAATATTCTTTCCAATCTTCAAAGTATACTTTGATCTAGCACCAAAACACCTTGAAGGAATGTTTCGTCTTTTCGATGAATGGTGAGTAAATGTTTAATGGATGTTTTGTTTTGATAATTCTTATAGTCCGATTAAATTTCGATCAAGGTTGGCCGAGTGAAACCCAAAAGTCGACTGAATGGAATAGATGATTGTCCGACCGAACGAGTGAGGTCGTGTATTTTCTTCTTTAGAAAATGATTAAAAACGAAGGGATTTTAATACTGTAAAACATTTATTATCGACGAGAAGATTGAACGATGTGAAAGGTAAAGTGTTGAAATTGTTGTAGGTAGTAATTCGTAAAGGAGTCCGGTAAATCGTATGGAATGAAGAGAGTATCCACTAGGAATGTCTCGAGTTTAGCACAATTTGAGTGGTCAGTCAGGTACAAGGTTAGGAAAAAGTTTAGGAGACAATTGAGGCAATGCATTATTAAAATTCGAGCTACCGAGTAGATGACCTTTCTCATTCGCTCATTTGCTGTCTACCTATACGGGATACTATTAATAGACCTTCCCGGCGCCATTCATAGAAGAAAAAGTACGAGAACTTCCATATGATCCGTATCGATTTTCACATCGTCACGGGCGTGTAGTTCCATACCAACCTTGGCTTCTATTCATTTATTATACGTGTATGTACTCAGATTATCGGGCAATTTTACATTTTACATCCTTTTGGAAATCCAAGTTCATATATTGTGCGGAGAAATTCAACATACACCTTCTCAGTCTGATTGATGATTGCATTTGGAATTTTTAGATCCTGATACCATATAGTGAAATCAATAGACTATTTAAGCTAGGAACGGTCTTATCATAGCTCTGAGATCTACTACAAGGTAGTAGCTATCTTCTTATAAGAGCGACCTTGAAGGGAAAAATCCTGGGTAGGGTCCTACTAGGTGTACATTCTATTCTACTCTATAGATGTACAATCAACCTGTACGAGTACACTCACATATCTCTTGAGAGGCATGACCTGGCACACGTGACCTGACTTCTCCCCCTATTTTATATCTCTACGTATTTGTCGTACCAACAGAAACCTACCCTATGATTACAGGGTAGGTAGTTGGCTTATATCTCTTTAGGTGAGCAGTTTTTATTCGGTCCAGGTTTCATTCATTCTCTAGTTGTATATATCTTCCACCCAAACTGCAAGTCCGCATCTGTTGATACTCGATCCGACCGAATTACCTTATACTTTCCTAGTATTAATTGGCGGACGTGACAAACAACCATTGGCATCTCCCAAGGCCCCGGCTTTAGCCCGTCGATGATTAACATCTTGCGAGTTTACGTGTATTTAGGGAGTGTCCTGATGGCCTATGGTAAGACCCACCTGTGGGCGCGGCTCGGGCTGATTTTAGCATTTTTCAAGATGCATAGTTGTACTTCATCGGCTCTTAGGAGACAACGCTGTCCACTAGGTTCCGTGATTTCCCAGATACACCTAGCTGTTCAATATTTTCGATTATATCAATTATACACTCCAATTTGAAAGAGGAGAAGGATAAAGATATCATTGTAAAGGTTCAACCGTCTAATGAGCAATCAGGGTAGCGAAGTCTGCCCTGGAAGCGAGGTGGAGGCGAGCACGACGTGGAAAGACTAGACCAGTGGTGCTAGTGAATGATTAGCGTGCACAGACCACAAGGCTACAATAATGGCCGAGGCGGCGGCGGCGCAATAATGCATTTTATACTTCTACATCAATTTCTATTGTAACATAGTCTAGGGCTCACGATTACTCCACCAAAATTTCCAGAGTAATTTTCCATAAGACATTAAGGACATCTTGATCCAAAATCCACAATCGAATCTCGCCTTCTCGCAACATTATAAAGTTCAGCTTGGTTTCGAACTTGCAAAACGTGGAAATCTTCCGAACCCTCAAGTCTACAAGATGCCGAAAGCGGAAGTTGGATCAACGAAGTTTCTGAACAACAAATTAAAGTCCAAAGGACTTCAGCGATTACGATGGTATTGCCAAGTATGTATGTACTTCTCGACGATACACATCAGCCAGCTAACAGTAAAAACAGGCTTGCGAAAGACAAATGCGCGACGAAAATGGCTTCAAAATGCATGTACAATCTGAATCGCATGTTCGACAAATCCTCCTAATTGGCGAGGATCCTAAGAAATACATCAACGATTTCAGTAATCAATTTCAGCGTGACTTTCTACAGTTGTTACGAACATCTCATGGCGAAAAACAAGTCAATTTGAATCATTTCTACCAGGAATACATCAGCAACAAGGAGCATATTCATATGAATTCAACGAAATGGCCATCCTTGACAGAGTTTGCCAAATTCCTGGGCAGAGAAAGCTTATGTCGAGTAGAGGAAACAGATAAAGGTATACAAGTAGCATGGATCGACAACTCACCCGAAGCGTTAAGACGGCAAGATGCGATTAGGAAGAAAGAGAGACAGGATAAGGGTGATGAGGAGCGCGAGCAAATGCTTATCAGAGAGCAGGTACGCCGAGCAAAGCAAGATGCGGAAGCTCGTGGAGAATCAGAGATGGATGAGCAAGAACGAGGTCTTAAAAGAGAGGAAGGAGAGAAAATAAAGCTTAGTTTCGGTGCTAAGTCTGCCGTTTCAAATCCTGAAAACAAAACTATTGAGCCAGAGGGAAGCAAGACACTGGCTGGTGACACGCCTTCTCTTGAAACTGCAAAAGACAAGGAAAAGCTTTCTGAGACACCGGCTACTGGTGATGATAAAATCACAGAGTCTCCAAATCTAGAGCCAGCGCCACCAGCCCCGGCCAAAGTTTCCTTAAAGATGGGATTCCAGAGCAAGCCAAAGAACGTTTTTGCAGCGGCCAAAAAGAATGCTTTAGGGGGTAAGAAGGCCCCCGTGTTTGAGCAGCCGAAAAAGATGAGCGAGGCAGAGCGTATTATGAAGGAAGAAATCGAGCGCAAGAGGAGCAGGGAGCAATCAAATGGAGGACCATCTCACAAACGACCACGATTTTAGTTACCTAGCGATCATGAGGGTTTGGCATTGCACGGAGTTACATTTAGTGGCGCTTTACGATGGAAGGAATATGGCGTTATATTTGATACCACATGCATCTGTAGAGGAACCAATGCAGGTTGTTCCTATTTTTCAAGAAATTTCAATTCGCCTTCATTGATTGTGTGTCGATGATTTTACCCGGCTCTCAGAAGTCTACATTCTTCTACAAATGGGTGTGAAATTAAACTTGTTATAATATATCGGGCGATTGATATGATTTGATTCAATCAGGCGCTTCAGAGATTTTCCTCATCTCATTTCTTTATAGTTGTTCCAATACCATGTCCAAACGCCCTTGAACTCCTTCGCGCTACGAACATTATGCACCCTTTGCCCAAGTCCAAATTCCTATCCCAAAAAGTGTAGTAGTTGACCTAATGAAAAATCAGCAAAGTTCACGATACTGTAGTCCTATTATGCTTAGAAAAAGATGACACTGAGAAGATGACATGGTTGCCTATGGCAAGCCCAAGAACAGGAAATACTGTATAAGTTGCCAAATATTATATAGACTCCTGAGCATCTCATACCCAAACGGCGAAAGCTCTTACATTTGCTTGCAAACCGTCTCTCAAATCTCTTAATCCGCTTCAGTAGCACTTCCATCTCTCCTACATCCATATTAGCTCCAATCTATCACAGAAAGTCCCGTTTCCAATGCAGAACAACTTACGGAATGTATTTGACTCTCGCCTCTTCCTCCATTGTCGAGACGATTTCTTCCGGTAGTTGTCCATTGACTTTTGTTGCATAAACACCTCTCACATATCCATCCAGCCGCTGCCATTTCGCGACCCAAGATTTAGATGGATCGGCCAGTGTAATGAGACCTTCGAAGACTTGAGATGTGCAGTCGATGATCGCTTCCATAGATCCTTGCAGATGGAGAAAATCTTCGCAATTGGGGCACCCTTCTCGCATGAAACGCTGGAGGTGTGTATGTTAGTTTTGGACTACCGAGTAGAGATGGGAGGAGAGGATGAAGGAAAGGTAGATGCGAACATTTTGGGTCATGACGATTGAGCAAACCATGCATGCGCGAAGATTGCGCTGCTGATTAGGGGGGACGTAGTTTTCAGTCATTGTGTTTGTTGTGATCTTTTGGCTGGAATTGAAGTTGTGATGCGAAAACTGCCAGAATTGAGAGGGCTAGGATTTATATAGTTGAAAGGGTTGAGATTGACCGAGATGTCAAAGAAAGCTGGAAGGCTGAGAAAAGCTTGGACCAACCGTCTAAAAAAGTCGACACGGCTGAATCTCCTCCCTTGTATCTTACCAGGACTCTGAACATTAATGATACAAATTTGGAAATAACCTTCTTCGAGCGGTAGAAAAATGGCTCAAACGACAGAAATCACCGTAGATACTCCAATGCAAGAAGCACCCCCATCATCTATGCCCTCAAAACGCAAACAAAATAGTCACGAACACAAAGCCATTACTATAACAACACCACTTTTTTCCTACATTCATCTGGAACTTCAGACCTCATCTTTCAAGAAGCCACAACTAGATGATATTACAGCAAAATCATATATTACCTCAGCACTGTCGCAATTTCTGGGAGTCCATGGCTCTGCTATTTCCATTGATATTTTGAAGACGGAGGACCAGGATGTTTGGATCAGAGTCATGAGAGAGGATGCTAGTGCGGTGGTTGCGGCGTCGGGGGGTTGGATTAAGAGATTGGGCAATGGGGATGAGCAGGTGGGGTGGAGGGTGAAGGGGAAGGCAAATTGGCTAGGAGGTTTGGTGGGAGAGCGAGATACTGAGGAGGTTTGGAATGACTGAGGATTCTGGAGGCCAGAGCAATCTACCTTTAATTTTCGTCAATAACGAGATCTCCTATAACCCTGGGATTCTGATTTTCAAAAAGAGAGTTATTGGGTAAAATGGGCGTTGCAACGTCAAAAACGTCTGGTACAAGAAAGAATTGGATACGGTGCATGCATCTCGTCGAAGTGCCGCACAGAGCTTGCCTCCCCAAACATGCGAAATCCAATATCAGCTATCAGACCAAGAGTCTACATACTAACTAAGTAAGTCTTTGATCTCAAAGTCTTTGAAAAAGATCATGCCCCCGATTCTGAAACATAGGCAAGGAGGACTGGAACTCTGCAAATGACTTGGTGTCAATAAGGTCGGGCCTGAAGCTTTGCAGACAATGTGCGCACACAGCTTTGTTCACTTTGGTCGGTTGGGCTTCACGAAGGATTGAAAATGGGTTCTACCACGGAATCATGCTGACATTCCCAATGAAATTGATTTACAGGCAGAGCATGTAGCGAGATCCATAGATAAATACTCAATTTAAATGTTAAGCTATGTCACATTGTGTTTATAAATGGTCACTGGAAAAAAAAAAGCTCACTCTTTGCCCGTAGAGGCTTGTCGACCTTATTGATATCGAGTTGGACCCCCACCACCTCATAAATGCCCCTGCCAGCTCGTAAACGAAAGAAAAATCAGATGAAATAAGATAAAAAACTTTTGTGGTATTCCCCAATCATTTCAGTCGTTTCAACCCAACGCCTCGCATTCTATATTACGCCCATCTTGAGAAGTCTAGACTATCAACCATTGGCTCATCCCCGATTGTGTCCTTATCCGGTTCTGCCGTAGACAAAACCGATGATTTTTGAGAACTAGCGTCAACTGAACTAGATAGAAAACTGAAGTTGGCAACAGAAGCCCGGCGAATACTAGTCATACTCTCGCGGGCCTTAGCCTCAGAAACTGCACCAGTGGATGTACCTGGTGGGGAAGTATGAGTAGAATCAGATCGCTTCGGTGCATGCTTTGCCCTGAGCCGATTGATCTCACGTAGACGATTGCGCCATGGTGAAACGTGTTCTCCGCCCTCACGATTTGCCCAGACCGAGGAAAAGACTGAAGCATTCATTGCTAGCAAGCGAATAAACTCCGGCAAATTCCTCAGACTGACAATTTTCATCTCAGCAGCAGGAGAGATCTCCGGGAATCCAGGTTTGCTCATGACCTGAACTTTGTAGTATGGGTCTTTTCGCAATTGTCCTTGTCGTGGATCTCTAGCAGCGGTAAAGGAGAGACGGGATTCTGGAGCGATAACAATGTTGACATAATTGAAAGCAGATGGAAATGTGTCATATTTGAACGGCAAGCCGGAGTTGTTGAAAATGATATTCACATAATCATTACCAATATGTTTCTTCTTTTGGGCGCACTGTGGATCCATCTCGAGATTTGTCGGCATCTGTGTTGTCACGTGAAAAACTATTTCAGAAACCCGATCTCTCCAACAGAATACCTTCTCTCCATCCGTACCGTACATTGTATCAAGACCTTGAGTATTGAACTTGGCCCCCTTGAGTTCGGTCACTGTCGCAAGCCCTGCAAGAAATGTATAGTATTCATCGCTGCCTGTGATATTAGCAAGTATCTCGACTTCCTGTGTCTGCTTGTCACCGATATAAATGACACCAACTTTGTGCCCATCCACGGTAAGATTGCGATCCAGAGCCTTTACAGCACGCCTAGTCATGTCGTCATCGGGAAGAGAGATTGGGCGTGTGAACTCAGTACCTTGGGGGATTGAGGCGGTCAGTTGCAGGAGGAGGTGGCTGGGGAGAACAACATTGGCATTAGAGTGTTTTGCGTCGCGTAAAGCATCGGTAGAGAGAGAGATCTGATGAGGAGGCGGCGGGTTAAACTTTTCGCGAACCATATAACAAGAAGTACCTGATGGGTGGCGCTTAGTGATTTGGGCCCAGCCTTTGTGGGTAGCCTGTTCAATGGTTACAACACTATGGCCAATGATCCAGCGCTTTTTCAGTATTTCACCATACAGTTCTGGGATAAAGTCTGGATCGGCAGAAGATTCGTCCACATCAGCATATGCAACTCTTTGCATATAGTCCAAGGTTACTTGTGCTTGCTCATCAATCTTCTCCTTTCCGTTCGCATCAGTCGAAACGAGGTTCTTAGCAATCCAACCAACTTGACCAGCGCGATCAGTGAGTTTCAAAGACAGAAACCAGAAAATGATAACATGATATGCAAGAGCATATACATACTGTGGTAGATCATCCGAGCTGCTTGCTTGCACGCTTGAATCTACCAAATGACTCTCTGATGAAAGTGGTCCCGAAGCAACTCGAGCTCGGGGGAAGTTGTTTTTGGAACTGCTATCCTTGCTCGGCTGATCTCGTACATTTTGAAGATATCGGAAACATACAGCGAAAACAGTTCGGTATTCCTCTTCTCGAAAGTTGGCATACAGTTCAGGGAGTCTTGACAAACAAGCCAAAAATTCTAGAATGTGAATTGCGACATGTTGTTGAGTAATAATTTGCGACATCTTTTGAAGAATGGTGACAAGAGCTTTTCTCGTCGATCCAGGAAGTTCATGGCAGCAAATTGAAAGAGCATGGATGCAGCATTTGGCAGCCCGCTCCCACGCGCCTACGCCTTGTAGGAAGGTCCTAACAATTTCGTCTTCCTCAGCTTTGGAAAACTCTCGGTTGTAACTTGTGACCATTGTCAAGACGTGAAAGAGACAAATGGCCACGTCAGCTTTGCGCAATCCAGATGATACTGGGGGCTCTTGAAAGCTACTATCTCTGATCAAATCGCACAGCAAAGATCTAAGCTTCTTTATCTGGGGAATTGATGACTTGAAAAGTGCTTGGTTGGTCAACTGAGATGGCAGGTGAACAAGAATATAGCTGTAAACTTCCCAGTCACACCCGCTATCAAGGAGCTGACAAAGAACATCGAGATAAGAGTCAATGTTCAAGACAGTCTGCACGAGTGGCTGGTAAGGGTTCAAGTTATCGCTGTGGTCAGGCCCTTTCTCTTCAATATCAGTCAAATCCGGACGGGCGGACTCGATAGAGGTACGTGAGAGATCGTCGGGAGCATCTACCGCGGAATCCGGTGTGTTTTCCTGTACTGGATCTACTTCGACGATGGTATCTCGAGCCGCAGAGTGTTGTGAGTTCTCTTGATCAAAAATCAATCCTGCAGCATCCAAATTTTGTGCAATGAATTTCTGATCCACATCTTCAATTATTGAAACTAGGCGAATAGTAGCATTGCCATTTGTAGTGTCTGGCAAGGCGTCGGCATCTGGTGACATCCACATCTGATGGTTACGCTGTAAAGTTCGATTCATGCCACTGCCTAATCTGAAACTCTGTTTGGGAAGAGACTGTGCTTGACCACCTGACGTACTTCGAGATAGGCGAGAATTAGATTCATCTGCTCGAGCTAATCGACTTTGCTGAGCGGCTTCATCTGCAGCATGCTTCTTAGCTAGAGATTCAGCAGTTCGATAAAGAGAAGCGGCTAAAGTATCTGACTCTGTGAAGGGCGTAAGGAAAATTCTATTCATCGCGTCTGCTCGAAGCCGAAAGAACATTTTTAGAGCAGATATACGAGAGTCTGTTGGGCAGTCAGAAGCTTGTGCGATGGCAAGTAATTCTTCAAACACCCGTAATGACTTAGAGACATCCGTAAACATGGTTCGCATGAATATTTGAATAAAACCTCTCACAACGATATTGGAAGGGCTGTGCACAATGGGGGGTGCGGCATAAGAAGATGAAGACTTGCTCGGCAAGATGCCATGACGAGTCCCTGGAGGCGATCCAAGAGGTGATTGCATTCGGTCACTGGTGACCACACTTCTCATGATATCTACAGCATGTTGGAATAAGCTGTCGTCCAAAGTTTGTTCGGCCATCACTACAGCGAAATCAATGAATTCCTGCAGTATTGCAATATCCTTTTCATCTCGAACATATCCCAAGACTGTCACCGCAAATGCCTCGAAAATCTCCGGTTGATCAGTAACGCTGACGATAACATATACATCTGTTACCGCTTTCAGAGCGTGTAGTCGAATATCGGGTGGGCGGGACCGATCAGCAAGGAAGCCTTTAAGAATTAGGTCAATGTTCTCTTTCCATCGTAAATCCGATGGCGAGCAACATTTGTAGTCTATGTAATGATCAATAACCAATCTTGCGCAACTGTCTGGAAGATAGGTATGAGATCTGACGAAAAATTTGAGGCAGTCGTCTTTCTGAACGAAATTGAGTGGAGGTGAATTTAGTAATTGCTCGACGCGCACAATTAGACCACCAATTAGTTCCCCCATTTTTGTTATAAATTTTTGCTCCGAAGTTTCGTCTTTTGAGGGCGGATTTCCATTGATAGTATTGTATATCTGAGACCGATTCGTCACTGGGTCTGGAATACGCGTAGAGCAGCTGTACACAATCTCAAACATTGGTGACCAGTCTTCGTCAAGCACATTCTGCATAATCCCACCTTCATGAGTGAAAAGCGAATAAATCAGCTGCAAAATATCGCAATCAACTGAGGTGCGGTCGAGCTCAAGAACCTTTCGCAGAGATGCCATGAGAAGAGTGAATGGGACCAAGGGGTAACCATTCTTTGCGTCCTTTGCAAGTAGTTTCTCCAATGCCGATATGGCACCCCTGACCTCTTTAACATTCTGGCTATATTGCTTATCATCGGACTTGTCTAACAGAGGCTTTCCAACAACTTCCATCAGTATTCTGACCATTGTGAGTCCGTGATGGGATTTGCATAAGTTGCTAATACATTTCCAGGCGTCTTGGTGCACATTCCAAAGGGAGCTATGTATAGAGCATAGCACCTTCACAACTGGCTGAAGCTTGCTATCTGGAATATCTCCATATGTTATGACAGCATCAAACAATTGATTACATGCTTTGAGATCCGCCTCTGTAGCAGATGATGTACAAATCTCAAGAATCTGAGAAAGAAGGTCAGACGATGCTGAATCGGTGACAATGTTAGAGCTGAATTTGATAATATCCGCAATGAAGACAAATAAAAGGGCTAGATTAGATTCCTCATCTAAAAGCGGTTGCTCTTTTGGCAGAGAGCTCTGACGGATAGCCTTCTTGCGTGAGATTCGTTCTGCTGTGGCTGCAGACCAAGTATCCTTCAGCCATGTGGTTAATAGAGGGAGTAATTTATAATGGAAACCCGAGAGATCTTTGCCGTGTCGTGATAGTTCGATCAACGATACAAGCTGCAGGTTAAAATCTTCTCTGTTTGCAGGGTGACTTAATATTTGAAAAAAGCTTGCTCTTTCAGGATCATTCGAGGATGTACATTGAACACAAGCAGTCAACAATTCGAACCCCGCAATTCGCGCTTGCTGTGGCTGAGTTGGTTCGATTAAATCTTTGGCTGCAATGAATATCATAGAAACCTATTAACAAAAAATTAGCAAGCGGCAGATAATATCTCGATCTAATCTACTAACATTTTCCAAGGGGAAATCAATCACAGCACGGCGTAAATGTTCTGCTGCGCGAATGCGATCTGCAAGACTATGCCCTGCTTGTAGCTGTTCAAGAGTTGGCTCATGGTTGAGTATACCACCATGGCTAAGATTTTGCGGAATGCTTCCATGATCAAGCTGCAAAGGACCTGTTGCTGGAGATTGCGTACTTGGACTTTTGGTAATTTTACCGCCAGTCAAGCTTTTAAACACACTCGCAATTCCGCTAGAGCTCCTTGGTTCCGGCGTCTGAGCTGCGTCCCCGACAGGTGGAGGCATAGAAGCTCGAGGGTTGGAAACTCGAGGATTTCTTTGAACTCGAGAATCTGTTTCGAAATTCCATCTGTTAGTAAATGGGGGATACATTTTGGATGCTTTTCTTTCAAAGATTTGAATTGCAGTGTTTTGTGCAAATCATGCAATCGAAGTTGACGAAAAGAAATTAACAAGGCAGTGGATGCTTGTAGAGCGCCGAGACAATGATGCTTAGAGATTTTAAGGCAACCGACAGCTAGCTCTATTTTTTCAAGTGCTCTCTAGCAATGTGTATGGAGAATTTATATTGGGTCATGGTAAGAAGATGCACTTCAGTAGAAAAACTCGAGACCTATACACTGTAGGCCATTCTAGGTTTAGCTCCGTGAGATTTGATAGATGGATATCGATAGTCAGCTGATGAGAGGCTTCAAGCCCATACTTCTTTATCTGGGCCAAATAAAAGTTTGATCTTGATAAAGCTATTGCAGTGAAAATCATAGGGGACATCTGGTATGTCCTATACGAATTACCAAGTCTAATCAATATGTGTATGTACTTATTCAATCATAGAAATTGATGCTGCATAGGGAAAGGGTGATGAATGCGTAAAGTGAAGCAGCTAGAGCAAGGCAAAGTCGCCGAAGTATGGCAAATGAGGAGTGAATGGAGTAAAGCAGCGACAGCAATCCGAACTTCCAAAATAGGATGTGAGGTGTGGATGAAGTGAAGTGGCTACTCAAATGCGGAAAATCGAACTTTCGGAGATAGGTAGCATACACACCATAAGGATCTAGGAGCCAACTAACACACAGACATATGTCCCAAGTATTCATGCGAGAAGGGAGTGTAGGATGGACTTCATCAATATCCTCTATAAATTTTTGACTTCACTTCCGAGGCTACCAAGATATCGCCAGGTCTATAAGGCTACAAGGCTGCCAATTTCAATCAATGAAGCACAGCACATTGATGATGATGACACTAGTCTTTCAATGAGGGAACTCCGCGGTTTCCTTCAATAACTATATCAGATAAGAGTACAAAATTCTCAAAATAAAGATGTCGGGGGATGATAACGAGCTTGAATGAAATTTCTGGGATACAACGAAAACTCAACGTACATCTTTGGTTCTGGTTTCAAATAGCTCATGAATTGTTTGTTGCTTTAGCTGAGATCAAGGAATCATTCTATAGAGGTCTTTCTGTGTTCCTAATAAATCGGGTCTCGGATTATCTTCACCTCCGTCTCTCCATCCTTTTTAGGTTCTAGAAAGTTTACAAGCAAACATTATTCTGTGTCAATCGCCAGCTCTTGATTTCTATTTATTAGATCTTCACACGGTCTCTTTAAATATGTCTTCAGATATTCAAACAGTTGCAGCTCTGCTTCAAGCTACCTTGGACCCAAGGCAGCATAAGCAAGGTTTGTAAACTTTTTTTCACTCATATTCATAAAGTAATTATTATTGACTGTTTTGTACAGCTGAGGCAGCCTTGAAAGTAGAGCAAGCCAAACCTGGATTTTCTCTCCTCCTCCTCAACATCGTTGCAGCAGATGACCTGCCAGTTAATACGAGGCTCTCGGGAGCTCTATGCTTCAAGAATTTCATCAAGTACAACTATGTGGTAAGTATCTTGTGCTAATTCCCATTCTCTGCTAACAAATCTTCAGGACGAAGAGAGAAACTACAAGCTTCCACAAAATGAAGTTTTCACGATAAAGACTGAGTTGATTGGCCTCATGGTCTCGGTCCCAAACAGTATACAAGCCCAACTTGGAGAAGCTATCAGTATCATCGCAGAATCAGACTTCTGGGACAGATGGGATACATTGGTCGATGTTAGTTACTTGCGTGCCGAACCAGTTTCTCGTCGAAGTATTTACTGACTTTATGTAGGACTTGGTTTCTCGCCTCACTCCTAATAACGCCAAGATCAATAATGGTGTACTGGAAGTCGCGCATTCAATATTCAAGAGATGGAGACCGCTGTTCGCCTCGGATGCTCTATACACAGAAGTCAACCACGTACTATCAAAGTTTGGTCAACCTTTTGTACAACTTCTAGCGGTAAGTTCCCACTCACTCAGAGGTGTATACACCAGCTGATCTATTTTTCACAGAGCACCGACCAGCAGATCCAAGCTAATAAGGATAATAAAGAGGTTCTGAAGCAACATTTTGAGACGATGAACCTCTTGATGAAAGTTTTTTTCGATCTTTCTTGCCAAGATCTCCCTCCTATCTTCGAGGATAATATCGGAGACTTGTCCAAACTCTTGCACAAATACCTTACATATGAAAATCCTCTTTTGGCAACGGACGACGATTCTGAGTCGGGACCTCTCGAGTTCGTGAAGGCTGGCATTTGTGAGGTTTCGACACTTTACATGCAGAAATATGAAGATGCATTTGGAAGTCTTTGCGAGCCATTCATTACAAGTGCTTGGAGTCTGTTAACAACCATTGGGCCTGAAACGAAATTCGACATACTTGTTAGCAAAGCATTGCATTTTTTGACCGCAGTTGCTAGTCTTGACAAGCATGCTCAAAATTTCAATAATAGCGAGATTCTGAGTCAGGTGGTTGAGAAGGTCATTCTGCCCAATGTTAGCTTGAGAGAAACGGATATCGAACAATTCGAGGATGAGCCCATCGAGTATATCCGAAGAGATCTGGAGGGCTCAGATGCTGACACCAGAAGACGAGCAGCAACCGACTTCTTGCGCAAGCTTTTGGAGAAGTTCGAGCCACTTGTGACAGATGTTGTTGGGAGATATATTAAGCATTATCTTGACCAATTTTCCCAAAACGGTAGCGATCACTGGAAATCTAAAGACACCGCCGTATATTTATTTTCGGCTATCGCAGCTAAGGGTGTCATCACAACAGGACAAGGAGTTAAAACGACAAACCCCTTGGTGAATGTTGTCGATTTTTTCCAGCAGAATATCGCGAATGATCTCCTTGCGGAAAGCAACGTTGAGCCGATTTTGAAGGTTGATGCTATTAAATTCCTCTATACGTTCCGTAGTCAATTGACCAAAGATCAATGGAAAGCGGCATTTGAACCCCTGGTCAAGAATCTAGGTTCCTCAAACTATGTGGTATACACTTACGCCGCAATTACTGTGGAAAGAGTTTTGTTTCTCACAAACGATGCAAACCAGCATATCTTTGGGAAGGAGGATGTATTGCCACTCGCCGAGAGCCTTCTAAACCACTTATTCCATTTGATCGAGAAAGATGCCGCACCCGAGAAGATTCAGGAGAACGAGTTCCTCATGCGCTGTGTTATGAGAGTGCTCATTGTCATCAAGGACGGCGTTATCCCAATAGCAGACAATGTTTTGCAGCACTTGATCAAGATCACTCAAGTAATCGGCCAAAACCCTAGTAACCCACGCTTTTACTACTATCACTTCGAAGCCTTTGGTGCTTTGATCAGGTATGTTCACAAATTCTTTGCACGATTCATTGCTAACTTGAAAAAGATGGTCGGCGCCTTCACAACCCGACAAACTTGAGAATGACCTGTATCCTACCTTTGCTGGTATTCTCTCTAGCGATGTTCAAGGTATGCTCAATATCCACACAAGAATGGTCATGCACTAACAGTCGTCAAGAATTCATGCCTTATGTCTTCCAATTATTTGCCGCTCTTCTGGAAGCCAACCCGTCCACGACACTTTCCGACTACTACAGAAACTTGATCGCCCCAATCCTAAGTCCTACTCTTTGGGAATCTCGAGGAAACGTACCAGCCCTGACTAGATTGCTTTCCGCAATGATCCCTAAGTGCGCTGCTGAGCTTATAGCGAACAACCAACTCGAACCAATACTTGGCATTTTCCAGAAGCTTATGGCCGGAAAATCAAGAACTGAGCTACAAAGTTTTGATGTTTTAGAAGCTTTGATTATTTCGTGCAATGTGTAAGCAACTCTAATTCCGTTCCTAACATACCAATGACTTCTGTTCTAACATGCGATAGCTCTGCCATTGAACAATATTTCCCTACGATCTTAAACATTATGTTCACACGCCTTAACAGCAACCCTCCTGAAGCCTTCAAGCGTCGCTTTGTCCGTTTCTATCATCTCATCTCATCTAAGGATCAGCAAGGCCTTGGAGCAGATTTTTTTATAAAGCAATCAGATGCTGTACAAGACACCGTATTCGTGCCTCTTTACTTGACCATTATCCTCCCAATCACCCAGCAATTCCCTCGGCCACTAGACCGCAAAATTGCCGTCATCTCTTTGACTAAGACATTGACCGATTCGCAAGCATTTGCTGTTAGATATAAGAAGGGTTGGTCTAAGACTTGTGAGGCTCTCCTCAAGTTGTTAGAGAATCCACCACTACCTGTCACAACCGATGATGTAGTGGCTGAAGCAGATGTCGACGATTTAAGTTTCGGAGTTGGCTTTACACAACTCAACACTTGCAAGAAGGTTGCAGTTGACGAATGGCCAGAGATCACGGATGTAAAGCTTTGGGTGGGATCATATTTGAGAGAAGCAAATCAACGACACGACAGAGCAATTTCAGGTTACGTTAACGAAAGATTAAATTCTGAGGCCAGAAGTCTTTTGGTTGAGTATATGCAGTAGGATGAAAATTATCACGCATGATACGAAGGTGACGAAGTAATATGGTGGGTTTGTACTGATAAAGGAGCATTTCAGCGAGGCAAGCGAAAATTAAGTAGATTGGTTTCCATGATTCCCACATTGAGTAGTATTGAGAAACAAGATACATTACCATGACATAATTCGTTCAATGTATGAATTATTGCAAACAATTGCCTGAAATCTAGAAGTACTCGTGATTACGGGGGTATGAAGCAGTCACTTACACATAGATGCATTGGGACCACGTACATATCAAAGACTGCTTCGAAAATTGTTTGTGCTCAGAATTTTTGGTGTCTTTATAGAGGAAGTCATTCCGATAGAAGAAATTCATCAAATATAATTTGATTGGACTCCAAAACATTTTTTAACGCCCACTTCATGCCCACTTCAGATCTGGTAGTAAGTAAGAGCTTTCTATTGTTTCAATACAGTCTGACAACCAAACTTTCTTTCGAGCTCAAATGCTGATCT